CTCGCTTTCATTTCGGAACATTTTCGCTGAAACGGTAGGACATCGGCCTCCGAAGTCGACGGTTTAGTTAACGTTAGGCCATTTTGAATGGAAGTTTCACCAAACAACCTCGTATAGCACCAAACAAATCAAAGACCTGCACCTAACATGCTGAGGTTACAGGAAGGTGGAGAAGAGAGAAGTAGTGTCACCATCCCTTTGGAACTTAGAAAATAACCAAGTTCTCCATCTTAAAAGAACTCCCTGAATAAAAATATTCGCCCATGAAAAACGAGCATGGTTCCTGGTCACAGCAGACCCAGACCTGCTTTCCGTCCGCTTCAGCGGGATGATTGATACCAGACATGTGTTGGTGGACAAGACATCGGCTTGGTGCCTACAGCCTGATGTTCACGATCAATGAACAACTTCAGACCGGAGATTCTGAATACAAACGGATGAGTGGTGAACTCCAGCAAGAGTGGTTTTTCAGTATACTCGATAACGGCTCTGTGGTCATTTTCTGTGCACCTACACAGCCTTCAGTAGCCTTGGCAAAGCGATATGGCAACCTTGCCTGTCTGAAGGACAAAGTTCCCAGTGTTTACGAGTCTCTTCTCAGAATAAGCCATGTATCCGACTGTGATCCAAAATCGTAGTGACATCTTAAATGCAGTGTGCCCATGGGCCCTAACCACTGTTTTTTATCCTCCAAAACGAGTTCTGTCCCAATTAACCCATTCGGGACTACTGAGATGGGCGCAGTACTGCCTGGAGGGAGTATTTTGCTGATTCCTATCGATCATTCTACGACCCCTGTGGAGACCTGTCAACTTTTGCGAAGCTATGCAATACTTGAGCTTCGTTTACCGTTGACAAGAATGTACAGGTGTGACCAGGGTGAGACGTGTAAGTTAGCAGGAATTAGAAATAGAAAAAGATAGAGACTAAAGGGGGTGTAGAACATTGGGCGAAAACAGCGCCCCCCCCCCCGCCGCTCCTCCTCTCCTCCATCACAGAAGCGTACAAGGAAAGCTAGTTGGCCACTGCTGAACCGATCACGGGGACCTAGTTTCTCCAGACCAAATGGAGCGGTAAGTGATCAATTTCCCCTACACAACAGTGCTGTCTGTCTTATCGGAGCTTCCTGGGCGTTACAGCCTGTTGTGGTAGTGACGACCAGGTGACGTTCTCCACGTATCGTGTGGGCACAGTGAGGTGTGCAGCTATTGATGGAACTAGAACTAAGCGTAGCGCCAAAACGTAACAGTCATGGCGTCCCTGCAAAACGGTAGGGCGTAGCGGAGACATGGCTGAGCGCAGCCGCGATCAGATTTTCCAAAATGGGCAGCGCGTCAGCAGGGCAATATTGATGGAAAAAGGGCCACTTGCGTCAGGGCACATCGTTTCGTTGTCGGGAATCCCCAAAAAAAAGGGGATTTGCAAGTCGCGGAGATGGCGGGTCGTATTTGGCTGATGAAGATTATTTTGTAGTTAATTTTTCGCCGTCTTGGATGTGTAAGGGGTGGGGGGTGTTACTTGTCGGGTTGGCTTAGGAGGAAGGGGGGGGTTCGTAGGGGTGGTTGACTTTCGTGGAGTTGTCCTATTGTATTTACTAGTATCCTCTCGACCGAGTAATTCAACCAGTATGTGCCTGCCTTGCCTGCGCTCCAAGTGACGCGCCGCCTCACAGCCCAATCGCTTTACGAAGGATCAAGGATCTATGTAAAGATGACCCTACCTGATCGCTTCGACCGGTGCGGTGGTATCTTCCCCTCCACGTATAAATGTTAAGGGTAAGGCGAGGAAAAATAAGGGGGGGAAGACCGGGAAAAAATTGTGTACAAGTATACCTGTAACAGTGCCGTTGATGGTACACATTTATCAGGACTAGTATAACATGTAGGTTTCTTTATTGCGGAAACGGTATAGACTACCAATAGTAGTACAAACGGAATAAAATATTTCATTCTGCGCAACGCAGCGGTTCAACAAAAACAACAATTTATAGACTGCTCTTATCAACGGTCACGCCTCCACGGCGAAAAATATCAACATCGCCTCCGATCCTACTGTTTTCATCACAGCACATGAGAGAAGAGAGGAAGCTCGGTGTACACCTATTGATTGATGGACGTCTTGGGAATGAAACGGGAGGATGAAGCTTGTCGCCTATTCCTCCCATTCTCCTTTTAATCGATGCCTCAAATTCAATCCAATTAGGGCGGCTAAGGCTGCTACCTGAAAAAAAACTGAGATTTTTCAGAGAACATCGAACTCTTCAGGATTAAGCAGCTAAGGGTCATACCTGCTCCGCCATTCGTATATTGGGTTGTCCCTTACGTGATCGGAATTTCTTCCCAAGCACCTCAACACTTCCTTCAAACCGTTTATCTTCTGCTCGCTGATGCTGTAAATATCATATTCGAGTCTATCAAGGAAAGGGAGGCAAGGGTTAGTGAAGTGAAGGAGTTGAGAGATTTGATCAACAGAAGGGTGCAGGTAGAGACCAAGAAGTGTGTCGAAAAACTCTCCTGGCGCTGATCGGTCTTTTTTTGGGATGCGCCACGCATTCTGCTTCCATTAAATCACCATAGAGGCATACTTGAACGCGACATGGCTGGCCTATCTAATTGCAAGCCGATGCACAAATCATGTTTTCATACTCGCAGACAAGTCTGGTCAATTAACAGGCCCAGGAAATGGAGTCGATTGTTGGCTCAAGAGGATGGCCCAACCCCGGACTCCATGGCACGTCCTGCCGCTAGCGCTTTTTGCAAATACGACCCCCTTTTTGCTTATCTGCTGAAACTCCTTCCCCCCCCCTCCCGCTGAGAGTCCCCAATGTAGGAACCAGCTTTGCCGGAACTCTACAGCGTTTTTTTTCACTTACCAGCCCAACCCAGAAAGCGACAAGTAGTTCCAAAAAAATGATTGGCTTGAGGAAAAGGACCTAACAAAGATAAGGATAAAGTCTTCGCCGTTAATCAATCCCTTTGTGGGATGCGGCACGCATTCTACTTCCATTCAGAATCGTAGTGGCTTATTGAATGCGATGTGGCCTATACAATGACTTGGGGCCAGCCGATGTACAAGTCAGTGTTTTATCCTCCCAGACGAATCTGGTACCAATTTACCGTCCCCGAGGATGGGAGGCTGGTTGGCCTGGGCGGGAGTCGACCCGAGATTCGACCCAGGA